CAGCTGTGGATGTGTGCAGGGTCGTGGCACAGCTGGATATGGCACAGCTGGAGCTAGGGGTGCACAGCTGGCTGTGTCAGGAGAACTGGTGGATCTCGCGTGCCCTCCATCCCTCCCCTTTGCACCTCTGGGATCGGGGCTCAAAAGCAGGAGCTCGCCCTGTGGGGCCGGGCACAGCAGATCCCAGAGGGATTCCCCCCAAAGTCCCTCACTGGGGTCATGGCACATCCCGGGGCGTGGCTGCCGGGGAATCCTTTATTCCAAGGGGGATTTGCTCTGCAGGGTGTTGGATTCGCTTCCCCGAGTGGCAGCTTCCTCTTGGAGCTGACGGGATGGAGTATTTCCTTAATTCCTGAAACCAGGGGAGGGGGTTCTGCCAAAGGGGACGAGATCCGTGTGCTTGGGAACGCTCTCGAGCCCTGGCTCCAAGGGAAAGGAGTCCCGTGCCGGGAGTGTTCATCCCGGGATCGAGTCCTGCCTGTTGTAATTTTAAAAATGTATTTTTAAAGTGTATTGTTGAAGAGTTTTCCATCATAAAAGATTCCTGTCAGGAGCTGGAGCCCACGTTCTGCCCGGTGGGAATTCCCCAGACTCTGGAAAGAGGAGCAGCAGAGCCAGATGGGAATAACAGGGATCATCCCAGCCCGGCTTCGTGCCCTGGATTAAATCAGGAACTTCATTAATTCTGGGGTGAAAATCAGATCAGGGCGAGCAGGGAAGAGAAACAGATTTTATGGGAGTTTTAAGAGAGGGGAAGATCAGCCTTGCAGAGTTTGGATCCCCTTCAGCTGAATTTTAAGGCGACATACGGCATTTGCATGCAAAGCGGATTTCAAGTCCTATTTTAATGTTCCAAAATGTCCTTTTGGTTAAGGGACCACAGCGACGAGCACGGGCTGGGCAGGGATGGTTTTGGCACACCGGGAGCCATTTTTTCAAGCCTCAGAGGGAGCCGCGAGCCCACGGGGAGCACCGGGATCACATTCTGCCCCGGGAATTTTCTCTCTGTCCGGCTGCGTCCACCCTGGGCGGGTTCSGGAAAAAGAGGGAGAAAAAGGAGAAGCGTAGGTAAAACAAACAGCCCCGTCCCTGGGTGGGCTCGAACCACCAACCTTTCGGTTAACAGCCGAACGCGCTAACCGATTGCGCCACAGAGACCGCGCTACCGGAGCGCCGCGAC